GCATCTTAATCTGATTCATCCCACAAACAGCAGGTATAATCAGAGAAGATTGCAACAATCATTCTTYTCTCAGCCCCGAGTACTGAACTAATTGAATTTAATCTCGTGAGACAGTTTTGTCTCAACAAGTTTTAAAGTTTGAAAATAGGTTTCCTACTTGAACTGTTCAAAGAATATAAAAAAGCCCACAATGGTCTGGATTCGTACCACACACCCAACTGCTGAATAGACAAGATTATTATATTTTGTAATGATTTTTACCCTAAAAACTAACAGATACAAGCTGATTTCCTGGTGYCTCATTAAACAGAGCTGATAGATATGAGTGCGCTCAGTCGTTATAACCAGGCCATAACATGAAAAAAAAAACCCAACTAAACCTGTCACTCAGGGCAAAGAACTATACCCTAAAGGAAAAAAAAGATACTGAGACTCAGTCAAATAAAAACATAAATGTGTCCAAAAAAAGAAAGCTTTATTTGTACCCTTCTATTGAAACTGCCTGTCGCTCAGATAAAAAAGAACCCCCACCAAAAAAAAAAAAAAACCTATCTGAAGAGAGTTATTATTTTGCAACATCCGCCACACTCAGTTTTTTCACCTTTTAGTGCTGAGCAGCAATCAACAAAAGCTGCGGCACCAGAACCAGAAGCTAGAGCAGGGAATAAATCTCTACATCTCTGCTGGGTTGGAAACAAAACAAAACAAAAAAATGTGATTATGAACAGAAACACTTCTGTGAAGCCTTTAAGCCATTAAACGTACGCCTCGGTGTCATGAGAGGTAAACGCGTGAGTCAGTCTTTTAGATGAGATGACTCCCACAAGCCTGCTCTAATGAGTTGAAGATTGTTTTTCTAAAATATTAAGGGTTTTGGGAGTTATGCTGGGGAATAATAAAGCAGCGGTTAATTTAATTTGCCTCAGTTTAATATGACTGCTTAATAATTTAAAGAAAGCCGTTACTGTCACACTGAACAACTCTTTAGCTGCTCAAATATTACCTTACCATCATCACCAATGTCCTTTTCTCTAAAACCGATACTTAAATATTTACTAGTCRGCATTTTTTGAACACTCATGTAGTTAGTAATGCTTTGAGAGGCCGGATTAATCTAAAATAAATTGAAGTTTGGTTTAAGTGACAAGCATGTTACCAGTTTTTTCTCTGGAAAAAAAGCTCCTTTGACAATGTCAAAATGCACTGTAGCAGGAGAGGATACTGCCATGAGAACAAGGGGTGCTGAGGGCGCCACAGAACTCTTTTATAGGTATAACATGTAAAAAAAGACTGACTTTATAATAACATACAGTAATAGTAGTATAGTTAAATGTCAATTAGTAAAAGTATTTAAGGGAATCTGCTGATATTGTTGAATCTTCACTTTGTGGCATAAAAAAAGAACAACTTCCTTTTTAACTGAAAGAAACCTCGAACAAAACTATTCTCAGTATGGATTGCCATCTGGGGTTGAATCCGGTTATTTTTTTTATGACTCATTTTTGGGAGAAATTAAAGTGGTGGTGGGTATTATGCAAAATCTAATTTCTGAGCCTTATATCATGTTTTGTTATTCTCTCATCAAAAACATACCCAGAGTTGCTTTGACTCATTTATGTATGTTTGAGAAATTCTTTAATCTCCTGTTGGAGGCTTTTGGAGCTACCTTAACGCTTGCTGGTGCAAAGCACCGCCTATTTGTACAATGCTCCTCCCTGAAGCTCAGTCKCCAGCTGAGCTCCTCCCTGAAATGGGAGTGTTCAGAACAGTAGGAGGTTCTTAAAGTGTAACTAATCCACCTATGAAAGCATAACCCCGCCCCCAGGCAGATATAAAAAATGCTAACAAAGTGGGTGGTGCCAAAAGGCACTGAGGGGCATGGATAAGTGTAGGGATGAGTGAGGAGGTGTGGTCAGAGCCAGAGCTTACTTTGATAAGCTAGTATTTTTAAAAACATTTCTAATTGTCCTAAAATAATTAATGTATTTTGTAAAAAGTGAAGTTACTTGACATACAGCGGGTAAAAGTATTGAACACGTCAACATTTTTCTCAGTAAATATATTACTAGAGGTGCTAATGAC